TCCATGAATGTGCAGATTTTTGAGACACCCCCAATAGTGGAAATGCTGTCAAATCACACTCACCCTCACAAGGAAAAGTGTTTGAGTTGTTAATTTGAATGTACTGGAATATCACCACAGAAGAAGGAGGAGACTTAAGAAGTTGAATACATGCTAAACATAGGGCATTACCTGTCCTTCTAGGACAGCAAAGGAAATAAACTTAAGCTTCTGGAAAACCATTTCTCTGGCATGATAATTTTTCCACCAACATTTGGAAGTTTGGTTTCTTCCTTGATCTTTGGGCCTCTCAACTACATCATCTGATTCATGAATTTCTAACCATCTGGGTACATGACTCAGGGCTTTCTCCTTTGCTCCAGAGGAAGGTACCAAAATACAATCTAGATAATAAGATGTGTTCATTGGAAAATGAAATTATTACTTGTTGGAATTCTCCCTGTGACTACTGATGCTTCTATTCTGGTACCATAAAGGGAATAAACTGGACTTCAACATGTAGGTCACATCATTCCATATCACTGAATTACTGTAAGTACCACTAATCTAAAGTGAAGGGTATATATCAACCCAAGAAAGGGAGAAACGAAGGACTGAAAGTAATGGCATTAACATTTTCTTCTCTGTAACAAAAACTGCCCAAGTCTTTCTTTATCTTGAAAACAAGAATCTGAGACTCATTCAGGAAGAGCAGAAGTGTCCAATAGATATTCATCAAGGGAAGAAAATTATTCTATTAGGTATTCTGATTAATTAGGAATTCTGAAGGGAAGCTCTGCTCACCCAGGAAGACCAGGTTTCTGTAGGTCTCTAGCATCACATCTCTGTATAAATTCTGCTGAGCAGGCTCCAGGCATTCCCACTCCTCTTCAGAGAAATCAATGGCTATATCCCTGAATGTCAACAGTTCCTAAAATAAGAATAGATCAATTAACAGCACATTGACCATTTGATAATTCACAGAGCTTGTAAGTTGACTGAAGATGAAATGAGAGTTAGTAGACCTGGCTCTCAAATAAGTGGGTCACTTTAATTATTCAGGAAAATACTTTGAAACACAGTGATATTCTCTATTATTTAACTCAGAGGAAAGAGTGTCATAAGTTTAAAAAAAGTATATATACTATAATTACAAAAAGTAATTATAAAAAGTAAAATTAAGGCATTATATTATAGTAATATACACTTTAATTCCAATTATATAGAATAAGATAAATCATCTATTTCTCAGAAGAGAAAGTTATAGTGAGTAAG